GAAACTGACCGTATTTTTTTGGAGAAGTGTCATCCTCGTTGTTTGGCAATGGAACTCGAGAATATGAAATTAGGCAGGCAGTGGTCGGGAGAAAAGATATTACAGGATAGTGCATCGTTTAAAACAGGATGAGGTGTTAAGTGAAGGAACACTGAGAATTAGATCCAGAGAACTATTTAGTTCTTGATCGCATTGTTAGTCAATGTATATTTACGCTATTTACAGGTCATATTTGCTAGAGCTTGATGTTTAAACAAGACTATGTCGCTGAAGCAGGTAAATGCTATTACAGCTTGTTAACAAACCATCAAAGCTAATTAGTCAATATAGACGACCAGTTTTTATTATCGGTTGAGCTAGTTTGTCATGAGGACTAATCAATATAACATTACGATAATGCATGTGAGCATTAATCAGAGGAGTATTAGAATACAGTGTTAACATAAATATAAAATCGATCGAGAAAGTTGAAGTGGAAATAAGGATTAATAATAATAGGTTGCGTTTCTTTAGTTGGGCTCACCAATGTAGAATTATGGTCTACTATGATATTAGTACTGCTCTAATAATAGACCTAATCCTAAATTTGTAGATTTGTCATGATATAACTGCCTAATCTATAAGATCTTACGTGGAAGTCACACCATCGACTACACCAACTCACTGTATCGTATCAATTACCAATACATGATGTAGAACAAGGTTAGGCTAGAGAAAGAACAATATATTTAATATGAATAGAAGATATAAAGTAACATTGAGATAGACCACGCCTGCATGGACGAGCCATGCCACTCGATCAACTCCAGTCCATTCAATTCATTGTTCGCGCCTTCTCCATTGTTAGGTATTTCTCCGCGTTAAATATTGAATATCTATTTTCTGAGTAGTCTCGTGTTCACAGCTTTGTGGATTGTGTGGCTGTTGTCCAATGCCACTACAGTTCTATAGTTAATAATATCACTACGTGATCCTTTTTTGAATCTAGGGGTGATAAGGGATGTTTTTCATGCAGATGGATAGGTCTCATGTTCCATTGATGGGTTGAAAAGTTTCAAACATAATAGTGGGAGTTCTCCACTCTCATATTTCACAAACGATGAAGGGATCCCGTCAGGTCCACCATTATAAAACCTTTTCAGGACAGTTATGGCCTGCTTGATGTTGGGGGGTATAAAACCAATTTTCGATAGGTGTCTGGATGTCAGCATTGGGAATGTAACGATAGAGTTTTCAGTTCTAGTTTTTTAGCATTGAAGGAAGTGTTTGCTGAATTTTTCGCAAATAGTATTCGGGTCGTTAACAATGCTTCCGTTAACTATGAAGAATTTATTCGTGTCAAGGGAATTTGACTTCACACGGGATTTAAAAAGCCAAAGTATTGATAATTCTAGGCTTTTACTACCTAGGGCTTTGTTTTCTATATTAATAAAATACTTACGTTCAGATGAAGCATTTCCGTCGAATAATTTAAGTATACTCTGAAGTGCATACACGTCATTGTGCTCGAAATAACGGCGTTTTAATTTTTACAGCTTTCTTTTAAAAGTTTTAAAAATACTCTGGCCACCAATAGCATTATAAGCCACTTGGCCAATAACTGGATCAGTGCAGTCAAGGAAATATATCAGGTTGTGGTATTAATTAGAAAACACAATGTCAAGATTATTTGTGTTAAAATAAGTTTCCCGTGGTAAACATTGAATGAGGATTTCAGTCCGTTTCCATGTTTGTTGATCAAAATGTCTGCTCTGGTACGTCATTGAAGCTTTAGAGTTCAATTGTTTGACGTTTAAAGAATAAAAAATACTCAATACAACTCTAGTCCTTATTTAGGCTCCAAACTTGTTTGTTCATATTGTTATGTTCACGTTTTTGCTCTCTTCCGTTACGGAAGTACGATATATTGATTTATTTGCAAATTACGAACACAAATTAACGACAGAATCAAGCTCCGATTCAGATACGAAAGTCTTTCCGCAATTTAGAAATAGTCGACCCAAGTGTCCTCAATTCTGTAGGTTCCCGGAGCAGAACTATCAGATACCAAACCAAGGATAAAAAGAAAGCAAAATGTTCGAAAATAATGATATAAGCAAACAAGTTCAAAATTTGAGTGGAAGAAGTACATTCAAAAAACACGGTGAAATGACTATTCTTTAACATGAGAGTCTTAGTCAGCTAAATGTCTTCGATTTTAGAGTTGTCCATAACAATGAGAAATAATGAGAAATTGCAGTATGTGGTGGAAAATCTGAGGTAGTGCTGTATGCTTAGTCAAGTGATGCCGAAAGTCATTCTAGAAATATATGTAAAACGTATATTAAATACCTAATAAATTAGTAGGAATTTGAGTGAAAGCGATATGATGCTCATGATGCAGGCCACGGAAGAATGGACTTCCAAACTCGATCACGTTTTCATCCCCACGACCGTGTACGGCCAAATGACAACAGGTATTCCGTGTTTGAAGTGCTTGTGGTCGGCTGCATGCGTATGCCTGAGCATGCACAACCACATAGATCATTTTTGCATCCGTAAAAACCCAGAAGGTTCGTGGAAGACGTCAGATCACCACTTGATGAATACCAAGATCAAGTTGAAGCTAAAAAAGCACTGGACAACTAAACAAACAGTATTAAAAAGGTTCATTACATCCATCTTTGGACACACTGACAAACGCAATCAATTCAAGATAACTCTCACCAACAGGTTTCAAGCCTTACGAGATCTACGGAGAGGAGAACAAGCTACTGTGGAGGACAATTGGAGAGAGATCAAAGAAGCATTAACTTCAGCGTGTCAAGAGGTTCTGGGCCGCGACAAGCATCATCATAAGGAATGGATCTCCAGTAGAAACCTGTGCAAGACTCAAGAAAGAAAGAACGCATAGACAGCGATTGAGAATAGTTGAACAAGAACAGAGGAAGTCAACGCACATGCTGAATACATAAAGCGAGAAAGAAGAAAGAAGAGCATTGGAGATGACCAGCAAAAATATGACAGCGGAAAAGCTGCAAGAAGAGAAAATATGAGATAACTGTATAACACGACGAAGAATCTGGCAGAAAAATATGGTGAACCAGAGAGATCGGTCCGGGACATATAAAGCAAGCATATCACTGAGGATCAGAAGGGTAGAACATTTCGACGAGCTCTTGAATAGACTGGCTTCATTAAATCCACCAGATATCGCAGCAACACACAAAAACTTACCCATAAATGTAAGTTCCTCAACGATTGAAGAAGTCAGAATGGACATCAGACAAATCAGAAGTGCGAAAGCAGCAGGACCTGACAATATAACAGCTGAAACAATAAACTCAAGCACAGATGTGACTGAAAACGGGCTCCACACCCAGTTCAGGAAGATTCGGGGAAAGGACAAGTGCCGAAAGATTGGAAAGAAGGATACCTCATCAAGATACTAAGGAAGGGAGGTTTGAGCAAATGTGAGAATTGAAGAGGAACCAAACTACTGTTAGCATTAGGAAAAGCTTTACACAAAGTGTTGCTGAGCCGCATGAAAGACACAGTAGACGCTCAACTTCAGGATCAACAGACCGGATTTCGTTAGGATCACTAATTCGTAGACCAAATCGTAACACTGTGGATCGTCATCGAACAATCAGGCGAATAAAACTCGTCACCATACATCAACTTCCCTGACTACGAGAAAGCATTCGATAATGTGGATAGAAAAAAATTGAAGAAACTTCTTCGACACTATGGTGTACACAAGAAGATGGTCAACATCATCCGGGATTCATACAGCGAACTACACTGCAAAGTCGTGAGTAGAGGACATCTGACAGATCCATTCTAAGTAAGGACCGGTGTCAGACCAGTCTGCTTACTCCCCTCCTTCCTCTTTCTTCTGTCGGTTCATTGAATTATGAGGATCTCGACATCTGAAAGAAACCATGGAACACAATGGTCTGCTCGGAATCAACTAGAAGATTTGGACTTCACAAATGAATTGGGCCTTCTATCCCATACACAAAACACAATCATTCAAAACCTTGGTCCTAAAAACGTTTAAGAGACTGGGCTAAGAATGTCATGGTGAAATTGTGGAGTCAGGACAAAGTGATGCTATCAACGAACTCTTCAATGAATTCGTAAACCTGTATTCAAACGGAGAGTAACATGAAAAATTGCGACAATCTGGTTGAGTCCCTAGAAGTAAAATGTCTGAATCCGAAATGAGTAGAAAAAACGTAAAGTTGCCACAATTATTAAGAGTTTGAAAACGCGTTGTCCAGTTACACGTTTTGTGATCGAAATATACCAACCTATTCATATCAAAAGTCAGAAGCGAAGGGGTTCGAAGATATATTTGTTGGGCTATAGATATATCGAGGTGACTAGTTTGAACTGACTAGTGGTCGTACGAGATGTGAAACATAGCGAACTCACTCGTAATCTGGTGTGAATGAGTGACTCAGTGCCTTCAGTTAGGTGAGTCAATGAAAACTAATGCAGTCAGCATCAGATGCCGAAGACTTAAAGGACCATTTATTTGGATGATTTATTTACTTCTACAGGCGTTTCTTACAGATGGTTCAGAAAACTAACGTTAGTCTCCTTTCACGGAATTACAACCATATAACACATATGAAAACAACGTTTATTCTATCGGCTTCGAATAACTGAGGATAAATTCATTTCTACTCATTTACTTATGAACAAGTGTAGAGTGGTGATGTTAAACAGCACTATAGCTAGCATTAAAGATTATTTGTGTACAGTATTTGACACAAATTCAGTGCTTTAGTGTTTTTCGCTGAAATTCCGCAAAATGACAGAAAGCTTTCTAAAAAATAGCCACAAAATATTTTTCATCAAGACTTTGTCTGATGGGTTAATATAACTTATCGTCTGCAGTATAAACTAAATACTTGAAACTGAAGAACTTAAAGACCGGAGTAGGTGATCAACTCTCATATGATCGGCATCTGGTCTTGAAGTTATCAAATTGGTATTACGTCAACGTTACTATGGCTACGTTGCCGTGAATTTTCAAACTTATTTTCTTTCAGCACATTCGAAAATTTATATTTTAAATGATCATTCAGGGTCTGTCTGAGTGTTTACGCTCAATGTTCTCGCTTTAAATTGTTCAAAACTACCGATCTATTTTCATTCTGAAGAAATAAACTAACATCTTGATTTAACGCGTCTGTCAGCAACTGTGAATTAAATTAATATGTCAAACTCGTAAGCAAATTAACTTTTTAATATTTAGTTTGTACAACAATATCTGGAGAGATACTCAAGAAAAACTATCGGATATTTTAGCTCGCGAACCGAATCCAGAAACTCAAAAGCTTGAAAAGGTTTGTGTATCAATATTTAAGCATACCAACTGATTTTCAGGATCGTGCCATAGCTTTTCAATCACTAGCCACGTTTTATATCAAGTACATTCAAATTTTTCGAAGCTTGGAACGATGTTATGATCAGATTGTCCACCCACAAAAAAGACGTCTTCTTAGAACCCTCCTGGATTCAGTAATTGGGAGGTTTCTGGAGATAAAAAAGGAAATGGTGAAACTGGAACTTTCTGAATATCATTATTTTGATGATACACTAGTGGATTTAAAATTAACGCCGAGTGACGTTGAAATACCAATACCAAAGTACTTTGTAAATGAAAATTTTAGAGCGCTAAGAGATAGAGAGCAATTTTTGGATCATCTAATATCAAGCACAAAAACGGATGAAACAAAGGTATCAAGATATCTAACTATATGCTTAATAAGTAGGTTATACGGCACAGTTACTAAGGTTTGCTAAGTTACCTAGGCTCTGTAAGGCATAGAATAAGAGGAGAAATATTCTTAACTATCATATCCTTCTGACTGTTCCGCTAACCAACATTAAAAGTTTTCTGTCCTGTTTATTGATGTTGAAGATTTTGTGTGAGGAAAACCGGATGAAAGTTACATTATGACTTAACAAATTGCTTTGATTTGAAACATTAAGTAGGTGGAGTTTTCTATAATTGGGTATTTATATCCGCTATATGCAATTTATATTTGGCACGAGGTTACTGTTTGAGGTTTTTGCGTAAGCAAAGACACTTATTTCAAGAGTACCTTTTCAATCATTCTGACGATTACTTATGAGTTCATCACCGGTTTCACCACTTGTTGCAGTTTGTTACGTCTTGCTCTTGTGTAATGGTAGTTTCATTTACAAAATTCCCCAGTGCTTTACACAAACACCTGAATTGTCGAAAAATCCGTGATACAGTTGAAGAATCTATTTTCTGGGAAATGGGTTTCATAAATTCTGCGATGGAATCTTTTATGGAATCTGAAGCATAGAAATATACAATTCGTGACCTATGCGGTACGTATAACTATAACTCTGACATTTGTAACTTCAATATTACATACTATTCATGGCATCCGGTGGAGTGACTTCGAGGTAATATTCAACCATTTTTGAATATCAGATGATAATTACAGTAAAACCATCTTGTTACTGGTTAGCAATTTTCAGGAAATACATTACTTGCACATGTTAATAATAATTGGAAGCTGTTGAGAATGCTTATTATTTATTGTTATTCATATTGCATTTTATTTGCTACTTGTTTATACAGTTTTGTCCTGAAATGACTTCCTATTAGCTGCTATGTATTTGCTGTAATTCATCGCTCTCTTGATTTCTTATCTATCAACCGGATAGATTTTCGACTCGAGTGACCCACTTACAGTCACAGTATTATAATAGGCCATGATATTGTTGGTTACGCTTTAGTCATTGGAGTAAGAAGCATGAATCTACTCAACTCGATTTGATGAGACTGTAATGATCATTACGTGATGAAGTCGTATTACAGAGTGCGCAATAACAAAATGTGAAACCTAATGAAAAACGGAAAATTATTCAAACAAAATATTCAAGCAAAATGTTTTTAACCACTCGTCCTATTTTATGCCTAACAAGTCAAAAATGTAGTCGTCAGAGTTGAATAATCATCAGTTTATTTCCACTGTAACGAAATTTAGCTCTGGATATGTTCCCAAAAATAAAGCGTTTCTTTTTAACACAAATCGTTTGTCAATTTAGCATATTCACTTTCCAGACACTTTTCACAGTTATTAGAAATAACGTCTCATCAACTTTACGAAATCAAATCAACTGGAGACCAAGCTCATTTGTTAACTCAAACCAAACTGTATCCTTAAAGTACATTCAAATTTAGTCAAGTGATGTTTAACTCAGTATATATTGGTTGCCAAGTATGTACCATGCTTAGTTTCCTGTAATATTTGTTATCAAAATTGAAATATTAGCGGTGGAACGTAGGCGTGCGTCAACAATCATGAAGAAAAATTATTGGCATCTAGTTCAAACAGGATTATAACTAAAATAGAAGTAAACGTGATCGAGTTATTAGGTTAATGACCAAAACTAATGGTAAAAAACGATGTGGCTCAGGAGGAACTCATTTGTTTCAGCTTACTTACTGAAATATCTGCTGTCTAATTCAAAAATAAGTGTTTTTCTATTTAGGAAGTAGGTTTTTATTGTCACTCTCCCATTTTGACAATTTATATAGACATGAAGTAAGCTGCTACCTACAGCTGATCTAATCGCATATTATTACGTAGTATGTCTCTAAATTGTTTGTCTATTATTACAATTTAATCGTTTTGGGAAGCTACTTTCAAAGTGACTTGTTAAATACTGAATACATAATTGACCATACTAACCCTCTAAGCGAACTGGAATAACTTTTAACTGAACGGTCTATTTCTTCCGTTTTCGTGGTTAAAATCTTAGCCCACTCATCGAAAAAATGTCTTCAGGTGCCGAGTTATACGACTAATAAGACTACAAAAAGTCGTTTGCGCATTTTGATATAATACAATAACCCCTTTCGGCCACATCACATAAATCAGTGATTGATACGTTGTATTTGCGCCTTATTCTTAGTGTAGCCATATTCGTTCATACGCTACCTATTAAAGATAACTCCATATTCACAAGGGTAATGACTATTACAAAGTATACTCTAAGAAATGTGCTGTACTCTAAAGTTATCCCGCCCCTAACCATACATTCTGCTTCCATTATGTGCTCCGCATTATCGAAGTCTCTGTGACAAATTTTCGGTTTGAGTAATTTTTGATGAATCGTTTCACGAATGATGAACTTTTACTTCTGTAAGACGTCAGCGCTCACGTTGTACTGATCTGATCATGCCAAAACATTGATGTACATTCTGTCACTATATTTAGGCTCTGTATAAAATAAAGCTTAGCAACTAGAATTCACAGTTTTCTGGAGTAAATTTTTCAATAGAAGTTTCCTTGTGTTATCACCTTATAGTCTATAAGACGTGTAAATGAGTATTTCATTTAAATTTCAACCCTGGGTTATGAAAACATTTGTTAGCGGCTTGTAAATTTGATACAAATTAAGTAGTGTATATAACTTTTTTTTGATTAAGCATAGTAATTGGCAAGATTGGACCACTTTGAAGTATGCCATACAGTTACACAAATACAACTCTTAATAAATTTCTTCACATTTGCAACTTGTGATTTGTATTTTCTGAATAAACAACGCACATGAACTTGATATTTCATGGGCAATGAAAAATCAGCTCAAAACTGAGCTTTTGTAACGCCACAAATTTCAGAACGCTTGATGATCCATTTTAGGAGATTTTGTTTGATATTTGCTATAAAAGGGATAGCTGAATTAATGCACTGTATTTCTTTAACCATTCAGAATAAACCAAATTCTAAAAAGAGTCGATTAATTACCATTAACTAATTGATAAATCTTGTATTTATTTGCTAGATCAGACTTATTGAGAAGTGTTTTGTTGATAGTCGTCAATCTAGTATACACGTAAGCTTGTTTAATCCAGTGAACACATTTTTGTGCAGATGAACTTTGTGATTAAAACATCACGAAATCGTTTTATTGCCATCAAAAGCAATTCAATATAAACTACTACAAATAAACTGAATGAATTTAGCGCTTAACAGTTTGACTCCAAACTAGGAAGTTTTCTGTTACGTCAATATTATTTTTAATCTATATTTCAGGATGAGGGGATGTTGATGTCAGTTGATCAGGCTATACTCCTCATTCAAAGGCATGAACGCGCACGTCAAGGCAGGATAAGAGCCAGATTTATGAAAGAAATTCGTCGGCTGGAAGAATCGGAAAAGAGTAAAGGTGGCGAGAGGAAGACTTATACAACTGATGAGGCTGCAATTATTATTCAAAAGGTATCGTCATTTATTTGCACCAGATTAATGGCATTACTACAAACCATGTGACCTGATTTTAATCTTGTTAGTATTTATCTTCTTTGAATCATGGAAATAAATGAAAAATGTGTTTTTGCATAGATTAATATAGCTTGAGGAAGTAGTGAGGAAACCTGAAGGCACTTGGTTAAAAATCGGTTATTTTAAACAGAGCGGTGAGGTCAGATTATCAAATAGTTTAATCATTAGTCGTCTATCAAAATTTCAAGTTTGTTGATTTCACAAGATTTTCAAAAAATCATTCTTCATAGGTCAGATTACATGTTGAAAGACTAGTAGTTTACATGGTGTTGTAACTGTTTTACAACTGAAGATATCCATCAGCTATATTAAAATCATTCAATTGAGCGCTTTAAGAAACTGAGTTTTCACGCTAGAGTAACTACTTTCAGCTGTAAGATAAGGTACTATGGTAATAAAAAGTGCACCACTTGGCGACCTGAATTTTATAAACCATATTGCAAATGATAATCTTTTTGTTGGCTTACAGAGCTAGCATTTTGAGGTAAAGCACTTGTCAAAGATGTTAGATGAGTCAATATGTACTGGTCCATATGATTCGCAGTTATGTCTATATAAATCCATCACCTATTTAGCGAACTCCAAGAATCCAACTCACAGAATTCACTACTGTGACCTCGTTCTAGATCGACAGTAACCGACTTAATAGCTTATTGTCGTATCACGCTTTGCACCACCCCAATGCTTTATGTACCTATTTTTAATGTAAAAGCCAAAATAGTTCTTAATGGTCAGTGTTTCGGTATGTATACGATGTAGCATAGTCTTGTCAGATGCATATAAACAAAATCATTTGCTAACTCATGTCACTTGACTAGACTCCGAAGCATAAGCCCTACATCTGTCAACCTATGGTTCTACCAAATGCATGGAATGTTACCGACAGTCAGATGAAAAACACTATTGTTTTCAGCAAACAGCCGTTGAACAGTAGAGGTTCAAAAAGAGTTTTGAGTATCTGAACTCTTTAAGACGCTCTACTCAAGCAACCAAATACAATTTTGGCTTAAGAATGCAGGAGACATTTTATTCATTGTTTAAAATGAGGTAATGAATTGAGTATTTCATCGATTCTCAATGAAAAAGGTGCTTTAACCATTACTACGAATGACTCACATAGTAGACGAAACAAGATTTTAAGTATAAATCTGTCACTCGTTGTGAGCTAAATGTTGGCTTTGATCACTCAGTACAGGTGGCTGAAAATGCGTGGAAAAAATACATATAAGCAGGTCAGGCTATGCTCAGATTGCTGGTTTATTTATCATATCTTTGTTTGACATCAGGTGTTTAAATAATGTCGTATGTATTCCATGTCAAATTTTTCGTCATCTGGTCTCTTTGATTCACTGAGTAAGACTGACGGACGTTACAACTAATTGTTAGGTAAGAATGTGCCTGAAAATTTCATCGGAACTTCGTAAATTTCATTACATAGAGTAATGATGTATAAGAATTACTATTCACAGTCTCAAATCAGGAGTGAGATTTGTCAGGGTTGCTTAATATCAGTATTCCGTCGTTAAAGATATTTTAGATATTTCTCTCACAAGATTGTAGTAGTGTGGACTTGTTATTTGGATAGTGATTTTTAAATTTTGAGAACGCTGACCACCTTGTATTACACTAAGGTAAAATTGGGATTCATGTTATCGAAACGCAAAGTATTTCCAAAAAATTGGAATTGGCCTATATGTACTTATATAATAGGTCATTAGAAACAGTTGTGAAGTTCTTGTCTCTGAGTATGAGTGATGAAAGGAAGAGAGAAAAATTCTATGACCAGAAGACCTGGAGTTGTATGTCCTGATTCAGGTTACTTTTAGTGTCTTTGTGATACTAGTCAGCACCAAAAACGTCCGGTTAGCAAATATCTGATGCAAAATACCTTGTAAAAAGTTTTGACAGCTTTCTTTTTCTTCTCAGACGTACTCCTTTATCTGATTAATGTCCTGTAAATAGGACTGAAATTCACGAACATGTTTCGAAATAATCTAAACTCTCATTCAATTATTTATTTCATCTAAAAATTAAACCTTTGTAAACTTGGCTACAGTTTTCTCATTAGATTGTATTTGAACTGTTGTTGTGACGGAACAAACGGAGAGTTGATGGATTTATTACACGATCTATTATTGTTTTAAAACATATTATTGAGATGAATGAATGGCGAAATCAAAAAGTGATAAAGATCCATTGTGTCATTTACTATAATTAATTTTGTATGTATTAAAAAATAAATTAAATCTAATCACAACAGGGATATTAAATGTGCACCAAAACAAATCACTTATTACGCTGAACTAGTTTTCTATTTCCAATAATTTTCAAAATATCTTAGTCTAAAAAGAAAATAAATAATTGTAAAATGCATTGGACTTACTGGAAGTATTACCTCATTTAAGCTAGTTAGAGTTCAAGAAGAGAAAAAGAATAGGCAAGATGATCTGTACATTGATATTAAATTACAAAATATGGCTACGTATTTTATATCTTGTACAATGAGGAATGATTTTAGTCATGATGAATGAAGCTTACTTAAAGTAGAAATTAAGCAAACTGATGTACTATAGAGTAAATTCTTTTAATTAGAATGACTTCTGGTTTTTTTTCCAAAGAAAAATCAACTAGTTATATAGACATGGTACTTTGTGATCATTTATCAACATAGTATATTACTTATGAGTAATTGAATAGCGGTCCACGAATTGTATGTAATTTCTGCTTGGGTAACTGCTCTAGATGGAAAATAATTCTATTACTACCACTCTTATATCCTTTTTCTCAATGTTTATACGTAGTTGTGGAGAGGTTTTATGTGTCGTAAGAAAGTTGGGATTATGCGCAAAGAAGAACTTATGTGGCTTGGTATGGTAAGTATTCATTGAAATATTTAATACATGAAGCAAGTCTTATATTATACAGTGTTTAAGTTTTTTGGTCTTGCTACAGTTATGATAATATTCTACATAATTTACTAAAAAAATAGTTTGGGATAGTGTCATGAATTATACTTGAATAATCTAGTTAATAACTAGCATTAGTACTGATATAGATTGTTGAAATGAGAGTTCATACTGTTTACACTTTTATTCAGATTAAAATTTATCTAAATTAATTAAAACAAACAGCCATGGTCTTTGTTAATACTGTTTTCAAAATTAATTTCAATCTTGATATAAATTTCACAAAATTATATCAGCTAAAGAACTAATAATCAATCAGTCATCTGGTTCATTCTAGTTTGATGTTCTTCAGAAGTACGAATTGATGGGTACAAAGTAAGTTTAATTAAAACCTACGGGATGTATTAATGATTTAAATGTGAACTCAATATCAATTAACCATTGAAGGCACCAGAAAGTTTTTGTTAACAGAAAAGTTGATCGATTATTACGTCATTAGATAAGAAAATGTTTCCCCAGAAAATTAACTGTTGATCTTTGTGACAGATTCATCCAGACTTGTATTTTTTTTATACTAGCTACTATACTAGTTAAGTAAATCCTCATTAGTTTTCACTACATTTTTTAAGGTACCAACAAATCTACATCACATTGTACAAAAATCTAATGTGGTTAAGTTAGCTAATCGTGTGGATGCAGTGCGTAGAGTAACACAAAATATCTATGAACAAGAATATCAACAAGCATTGGTTCAGGTAAAAGAGAAAATTCGAGATACTGAAGGTCCAGATATGCGTGAAGCAATGCAGGATCAAATACGGCAGTGGTTTATTGAGTGCAGGTTAGTACTTCGAACTAAATCGATTAGTTTAGTGCAATTTGATTTTCATTTATTCTCCAATTTATTTGTCTTTAATAAATATTCATATTTCACTCATCTGCTCTTTAATGTCTACTTCCGAGATGAACTTTCTTCAAACGCTATTTTAAGGTATGAGGATCAAAATAAATGAAATGATAATGAAATAAAAATTCATAAAATAAACTAGATGAAGATCAGGTTGTCACATAATGCTATTTAGTTTAATGCATTTGTGCTTATATTAAACCTTCTCCTCTGTTACTTACTTACTTACTCACGCCTGTTACTCCTCAAGAAGGATTATAGGCCGCTCACCAGCATTCTCCATCCAACCCTATCCTGGGCAATCCTTTCCAGCTCTTAACAGTTGCCCGACCGTTGTTGCTACCTTGACGTGGTGGTCGGGCTTGCCTATCGTGATGAAGCAACCGAGCTATACTGGCCGGAACAACCGTTCCTCAAGGTTCTACCATGTCAGACATGTCAGTTGAAGAGCGGTAAGACTAAAAGCAACAAACCCAAGGTCCGAAGGCGAAGTCGTACTGCTGACTGTACAGAGGTGTGACAGCAGTAAGGTGTTTCCTTCAGACAACCAGCATGACAGCGATGCTGCCTTCCCACAAGGAGGGGTGGGGTTAAAACAGGTCGACCCTAAAAATGCACACCTCACCTTACCTCACGGATTTCCGTCTCCGGCGGTAAGGCCCTTTGAAGAACGGAGCTAACACGTCAAAAACCTCCCACGAAAAGGCCGTGCGCGACCGGCCTCAAGCAGTTGTCCCTTGGGCACTGCGGTCACGCTCTCAGGTCACTGAGACCACCTCTAATCCAATTTCCTTTTCAGGTACCTCCAGAAGAACCCTTCCTCGGTGTGGGCAACCGGGAAGTGATAACCGCCCTCATACCTCTAACAGCACCCAAGACCACTGTATTCATAATCAACCTTCGTCTTCAATTCCTATTATTCCTCCTACATCGACTTCAAACTCTAAACTTCCTCTTTCGGCTTCCTCCTCAAGTGTCACCATAGCCAACGATTCTAGTGCGCAAAACTCTGTCCCAGGTCTACTGAAACCTCGCTCCAAACTACACATTGGAGCTTTCAACGTACGCACTCTATGTCAAATCGGTCAGCAGGCTTCCTTGGTTAAAACCCTAGAGTCTCTTTCCATTGATGTATGCTGTGTCTCCGAAACACGCATACAAGATTCCAGTGTGGTTATTCACTTGACCTCACCTCGGCAAAACGGAGAGCCAACAAGATACACCCTTCGTGTATCTGGTGACCCGATGGCAAGTTCTCGTGGACTGGCAGGTGTAGGCATAGCACTAAGCATGAGGGCCGAACAAGCACTGCTAGAGTGGATCCCCGTCAACAGTCGTTTATGTGCTGTTCGGCTAAACGGCTCCGTAAGAACTCGGAAGGATAGGGACACACGTCGTTGCCTTTTCGTCGTTTCTGCCTACGCTCCCACTGACTGCAGCTCAGATGATGTGAAAGATGAATTTTACAGAAAGCTTTCTGAACTTCTTCAGAAAGCTAAACGCTCAGACATAGTACTCATAGGGGGTGACTTTAATGCTCAGATAGGTAGCTTAAACCAAACAGAAAGGCATTTAGGTGGATATTTTAGTATTCCGGCACAGCGAACAGATAATGGTGACCGTCTGCTGCAACTATGCTCAGACAATCGCTTATTTTTAGCAAGCACAAATTTTAAGCATAAGGAGAGACATCGTCTAACATGGCGACCCCCTACACCAAACCAACGATGGACTCAAATAGACTATATTGCCATCAGTCATCGTTGGAGAGGGTCAGTAGAAGATTGTCGCTCATTCTGGAGTATCGGTTTGGACTCCGACCATGCCCTAATACGGGCACGCATCTGCTTGCGCCTCACTGGACGCAAAAAAGCCACATTAAAAAGACCCGTCAGAACTGAGTTGAGTAACGAGAAAATCAAAAGTAGGTTCAGGAACAACTGAGGTCACACTTAGGTAGTTGTGAAGACGAGGCTGACCCAGATGTTGCTTGGAAGGGCATACAATCAGCTGTGGAAACAGCAGTGACATCTATTAGTGACTTAAACCACAGAGTTGCAAGGAACCAGTGGATTTCTTCAAGGTCTGTCACACTGATGGATTCTCGTAAACTCGTCCCATCAGGTTCTGAACATGATGAAGAGCGAAAACAAATCAGATCTAGGTTAAGAAAAAGTCTAAGGAACGACCGTGAGCAGTGGTGGGTAACGAAAGCAAAAGAGATGGAAAAGGCGGCGACTATAGGGAACACAAGACAGCTTTACAGACTAGTAAAAGAAACTGGAATTAATAAGTCAAGTGTAAGTGAGATTATATCGGAAAAAGATGATACTCTCATCTGCTCCCAGTCCAGGCGTTTAGAACGATGGGCGGAACATTTTAGAGAACAGTTCAGCTGGCCTTCAGCTACTGTACAACTACCCTCCATTCCCAGACAGTGTGAATGGAACATTGAAGTAGGTCCCTCAACTCTTGCTGAAGTTCAAAAGGCTATAGTTAATCTGAAACGAGGAAGGGCAGCTGGTCCAGATGGATTGGCTCCAGAAGTCTTTAAGGATGGTGGTCCAATTTTAGCGATTAGGTTGACTAATATTTTAGCTAAGATCTGGGAGTTAGACGTTATTCCATCTGACTGGTCGCAACCACTTATCGTCCCAATATATAAGAAAGGGTCAAAATCATCCTGTGACAACCACAGAGGGATTAGTTTAACAAACATAGTATCTAAAATACTGGCCTCGATAATTATCAAACGCCTAACTAAGACTCGTGAACTACAAACTCGAGAGAACCAAGCTGGCTTTAGACCTGGTCGTGGCTGCATCGACCACATATTCACCATTCGTCAGGTTCTAGAACACAGGCATACCTATCGGCGTCCGACGATGGTGGTCTTTCTTGACTTAAAAGCAGCATTTGACTCGGTAGACCACGAGATTCTGTGGCAGTGTCTGTCATTGAAAGGCGTACCTCAGAAGTACATAAACCTTGTGAAGGCTCTTTACTCGAACACTACTAGTCGAGTCAGGGCTTATGGCGAACTGTCATTTACTTTTGCAACTTCAAGTGGTGTCCGTCAAGGCTGTCCGCTTTCTCCATTTTTGTTTAACTTCATCATAGACCTATTGATGGAAATAACACTCTCGTCGACTGAATTCTCGGGTATTGATCTCCTACCAGGAGGTCCACTTATCGACTTAGAATACGCAGATGATATAGTCCTGTTTGGTGAAGACGCTGACAAAATGCAGAGTCTTCTGGTAGCACTAAGCAACAATGCCAGAATGTTTGGGATGCGCTTCTCTCCCTCTAAATGCAAGTTGTTGCTTCAGGACTGGTCTGCGTCAACACCTGAACTAGGGATAGGGAGTGAAGTAGTCGAACGCGTCGACAACTTCACTTATCTTGGAAGTCTGATCAGCCCTAATGGGCTGGTGTCTGACGAAATCTCAGCACGAATTTGGAAAGCTCGTTTGGCTTTTGCCAACTTACGTCACCTTTGGCGAAGGCGAGATATCCGTCTATCAATAAAAGGACGAGTATACTGCGCTGCAGTCCGTTCTGTTTTACTTTACGGCAGCGAAACATGGCCTTTAAGAGTGGAAGACACCCGTAAGCTACTAGTATTTGACCACAGATGCCTCAGAAATATTGCTGGCGTCTGTTGGGATCACCGGGTAAGTAATAGTGAGGTTAAGCGCAGGGTATTAGGGAATGATGGTAAATCAGTCGATGAGGTTATGAATCTTCATCGACTGAGATGGTTGGGCCACGTGTTACGTATGCCTGAACACCGATTACCACGACGTGCAATGCTAACCGGTGTAGGGGATGGTTGGAAGAAAGTTAGGGGCGGCCAAACCAAAACGTGGCATCAGTGCCTGAATTCACTAACTTCTAGTCTGAGCCATGTTGGTAGATGCAGACTACTTGGTTGGGGTCCGCGCGACTGTCGTAACCAATGGTTGGAGACTCTTGGTGACATGGCTCAGAATCGATCACAATGGCGTCGGTGTATACACTCCCTGTCTTCCCTTAAACTAAGAGATTAAAATCACTTCATATCTTTCTTTCTACGAACTAATTCTTTCTTCCTATACTATATCCTTATTGCAACCTTTGACCTAACCACTCCTATGAATCCGGTGTTCATCTTGCTGTGCTAATGAGGTGTGGCAACCTGGACCGATGCACATATGTGCCTGGTCCTACGTTGTAGCTGACTGACTGACTTTACAGTTGTAATTCATCATTTTCATATCTGCTTCTATTATCCGACGCAATGTGTTCTTTGGCCTTCCTCTTTTTCGCTTCCCTTCAGGATTCCAAGTTAGGGCTTGCCTCGTGATGCAGTTTGACGATTTGAATAGTGTATGTCCTATCCATTTCCATCGTCTTTTCTTAATTTCTTCATCATCTGGAAGCTGGTTTGTTCTCTGCCAGAGAAGGCTGTTGCTGATGGTATCCGGCCAATGGATGGTGAGTATCCTGCGTAGACAACTATTTATAAATACTCGTACCTTCTTGATGATGGTTGTTGTAGTTCTCGAAGTTTCAGCTACGTACGGTAGAACTGCCTTGACGTTGGTATTGAAGATTGTGACTTTGATATTGGTTGAAAGTTGTTTTGAGTTCCATATGTTCTTCAATTGTAGGAATGCGGTCCTTGCTTTGCCAATCCTCGCCTTTACGTCTGCATCTGAGCCTATTTGTTCATCGATTATGCTTCCCAGGTATGTGAAGGATTCTACATCATCCAGAGTTTCGTCACCAAGAGTGATTGGATTGCTGTTCTCCGCTTTGAATCTGAGGACCTTGGTTTTCCCCTTGTGTATGGTGAGGCCTACTGATGCAGAGACTGCTGCTACACTGGCTGTCTTTATCTGAATTTGTTCATGTGTATGGGATAGGAGGGCCAGGTCATCTGCGAAGTC